GGGCGGCTCCGAGCGGGCCTGCCGCGGCCTCCCGCCCCACTGCGTGTCGGTACCGCCCAGTTCTCACTGTGTCCCTGGACACGAGGCGACCCCCCGTCGCTCACGCCGAGGCCGGCCCTAGCCATCGCCGTGCCGACCAGTTCAGGAGGGTCTGCGGCGTGCGCTGACTCATCTCGAGATGAGTGCCCCCGGCCTCGGGTCCCGGGAGAGGCCTGGAAGATGGCTCGGTATAGTTTTTAGAGGCTTTTGCCCTAGGTTACTTGTGTTCGCTGGGGGGAGAGAGATAGAGACAGTGGGAGGGAAATCACTCCACCCCCACCCGCTCGGGAAGGCCATGCCTCCGTCCATTCTCCTCCTGGGGTCTTTCAAGCCACTGGGTCTGGATTGGAATCGTGGTTGACCCTGTGGGCGACATTACCGCTGTGCCAGCTGCCCGCCCTGGTGATTGGGTGTCTTTTCCGTTTCCCACCTGAGGTCTGACCAGCGACACAGCCCGGAGTAAAGAACCAGAGCTTTCAGACCAGGCTGGCCCTAATTGTCAGGGGCCCTGTCCTCACACCTACAAAATACAGGAACTGCTGTCGGAAAAAAGTTGCTTTTGTTTTATGGAGGAGAAGGGACACCACAATTCATTTTGCAAAAGGTGTGAGTTAAGGATAAAATTGTTTTAAGAAAAGTTGTGGAACCATGTGCCCTCCCTCTGCGGTCTCCCAAGTCACAGGGCCTGCAGGGTACAGACTGCACTGCTGCTGGTCTGGGCCTCAGGTAAAGCACTTCTCAGCCCTTCTGGCCTCTGCCAGGAACAAGCCCTGATGGCACTTCCCCTGGACCAGTTTTGAGGTTTAAGGAATTGGTCTGCCCTGACATCAGTGCCAAGGAATCAAGGTTTTCCCACTGAAAACTGCATGTTTCAGAGGTCCAGGGTTTTTGTTTAAGTTTTGTTATATGTACACTCCTGGAGAGAGGTGACAGGAGAAGGGGTGAGAAATCAGCCCTCCTTCAGTAATGGCATTCCCCATTTTTGCATACTTGTTCGTAAGATAGGTATTGAGTGGGAGGAAACGGATGGTGTGTCGCTTTGCTCTGCGGAGCAGCCTTGGCCAGCTTCACATGATGGAGGTTACCATGGAATGGCCTGGCTTCAGGGTGCTCAGGTAAAGTGGGTCAGACCCAACTCGGGGTCCTGCAGTTGGCTCAGGAAGGCTGAGAAGCCCTGAGGAGGGATAGGAAGAGGTGCCCATGAGAGTTCTGGGTCACGCCGTGTGGGCCCAAGGACCAGGCCTGCTCTCTGTCCGCGGGCGTTGATTCCTGGCAACTTGAAGATTACTTACTTAACCCTTTCAGAAAGCCGCACCGTTAGAGATCCCAGTTAGAGCTGGGCCAGATGGTGGAATAGTTTGGGGAAGGTGACTCGCTTCATGTAGGACCTGCTTTCCTTCTGAATTTGTTCCTGTGTGTGGATTTCTTTTTTCTCTTCTACTCCCTCATAAATGACATTTTCCCACTGTGTCTTTTCCTTGATATTCATTGCTTCTACAGAAAGAAATTTCTTACTCATTCGATAGGTTGTCAGGATAAGCAGGATGTATTTTCCTGTGTTTTTCTATGCAAAAATGCATTGTGATGTTTGCGATGACCCAGGAGTATCCAGCTACCTTTAATATGATTTTCTTTTTTTTTTTTTTTTGGAGAGGTTTTTTGCTATAGGGTGCGGGCATTTGCCAGAAAGACAGAGAGAGACAGAGACAGAAAACGAGAAATCACCCCCCAGGGCGGATGGCCACACCGCAATCCCTTCTCCTCCATTCTCCTCTTTTTTTTTTTTTCTTTTTTTGAGAGGTTTTGGCTACAGGGTACGTGCACTCACCAGACAGAGAGAGACAGAGAAACAGAAAGCGAGAAATCACCCCCAAGGGGCATGGCTATGCCACAATCCCTTCTCCATTCTCCTCTTGGGATCTTGGGTATGCACGCACGCACGTCCAGCGTGGGTTTTAAATCACCAGGACCAGGACTCGACCTCCATTCTCCTCTTGCGATCATGGCCACACATGCGCCCCTGGTGTGAGTTTAAGCCACCGGATCCAGGACTTGAACTGCTGTCGACTACATGGGAGTCCAGTGACATAGCCATTACGTTAACTGCTGGTCCCACCTTTAATGTGATTTTTAAATTTTGCTATACAACACGTGCACTTGGTGGAGGTAGAGAGAGAGAGGGTGAAAAAGCACCCGGGGGGGTGGGGGAGGTGACTATCCTGCAACCACGGTTTGAGTCCTCGACCGAGTAGCTTAAACTCAGTCTGGGCGTGTGTGTGTGCATCCAAGATCCCAAGAGGAGAATGGAGATGGGATTGTGGTGTGGCCATCCCCCCGGGGGATGATTTCTCACTTTCTGTCTCTGCCTCTTTCTGATGAGCGCGTGTGTCCTATAGCAAAAACAAAACAAAACACTCTCAAAAAATTTAAAAAAAGAGAGAGAGTTTTTTGCTGTAGGATGTGTGTACTCACCGGAGAAACGGAGAGAGACAGAAGGTGACCGCCAGTGTTATGGCGGCCGCACCCTAACCCTTCTCCATTCTCCCTTCAGTGTCGTGGGTACGCATGCTCTTGCGCCTGGCATGAGTTTCAAGCCTCCAGGTCCAGGACTCGAACCACAGTTGACCAGGAATGTAACCATTATGCCATCTGCTGATCCCTGTTTATTTTCTTAAATAATTATTTATTTGAGGCCAGAAAATGGCATAGTGGTTATGTCACTGGACTGCCGTGTGGCCAACTGCAGTTTGAGTCCCAGATCTGTTGGCTTGAAAATCATGCCAGGCACATGTGTGTGCATGCCCAAGATCCCAAGAGGTGAAGGGATCCCAGCGTGGCCACACCCCCTGGGGATGATTTCTCCCTTCCCCTCTCACTGTCTCGTTTCTGGCAAGCGCAGGCACCCAAGTGACTAGTTTCCATTTCAGGGACTTGAAAACCACACGGGGGCTTGTGTTTGCTGGCCAGGACCCTAAGAGGGTGCAGAAACTGAGGCAGGGTGGTGTGACCATGCCCGTTGGTGCCTGCTCCCCCACCCCACAGACTGGCATGTCCACACATCCTTACGATGGTGATCAGCATTGCTGCCTAATTACTGATTGGATTTATGTATGATAGATCTGGGGCCAGCAGGTGGAGTGCTGGATTGGGGTGCTGGCCTCCCACATGGCCAACCGCGGTTCCAGTCTGGACCTGGCAGCTTGCTTACTCACTTTCCCTCACTGTCACTCGCTCTCCGTCCCTCTCTGGTCAAATTAAAAATACATAAAGTTACGTAAAAATAACACTTCTAACGGAAGTATAATAGATTTAACATTCCATTGTTCAGAGACTAGCAATTGCTATTGGTTTTCAGTAACTCCCTAAATTATATTTAAGCAGTTTCCTTAACGGAATTTTTGCCTCATCAGCATCCATTGATGCATGGCTTTCTCTGATTCGTCATCGCAGTGGCTCGTTGATAAATTTCTGGAAGCGCACACTTTAGAATTTCTGCATTTCTGTTAGTGAGATCAGACTATGGGGTGCTCTCGCTCTCGCTTTGTGTCTCTCTTATCTGAGTTCGTTACTGAAACTGGTGTCTTTGCAAAGCTGATCGGAGAGCCTCCCCTTTCTCTGGCCCTGGGCTGTCTGTCCTGGAGTGGGTGGGGTTCAGCTCTGGGCCCTCCCAGTCTCAGGCCTTGGCATCGCTGAGTCTCCAGTCTCCAGTGCTGCTTGTCCTAGGCAGGGTTCCCAGGTCTGGGTTCCACTCTGGTAGTGCCAGGGCCCCAAGCAGCAGTCTCAGTCACGTGGCTCTGCAGCCCTGATCTCTGACGTCCCTTTTCTGCGCTTGTGCTTTTTCCTTAGTTGGGCTTGTGAAGATTTGCTTTAGAGAAACAGTTACTGGATTTACTTAACTCCTCTACATTTTCTGATAGCTTTGTTTTTTCTGTTTATTTCACTTCCTGTTTATGTTTTGTTTGTTTCCTAATATTGTATGTTTTCAGCGCTCTGTAATCGTGACGAATATGGAAGGCCCAGGCTCTCGTCGAGCCCTGGGAGCTATTCCTGTGTGCCATCGGCTCGGCCTGGCCCCTCTAGAGCGACTTGGGCTGGGCTGGGCTGGGCTTGCTGTACCCTCCCTGGCCCAAACTTATCCAGTAACTTCAGACTTGGGGCAATTGTTCTTTTTTCCTCCTAGTTTAAATGTATAATAATTTGAGAAGATCGACTAAAATAAGATGCTTCCTAATTTTAGACTTCTTGATGCCTGACATGTTTTCCAGTTTTTCCCCATCTGTCAACTCTAGGTTCTCTTATCTGCCAAACCAAGTATGTTGGTTTTATTCTTAATTTGGATGTGCCATAAGTTCCTTTTAATTTCTCTTTTAGGATTCCTTCTCGTTCATAATCAGACACATTTTTACCAGTTAAAAACATGTCGGCTCTTTTCCCCAAAACTGTCTGTTTTCCACCTGGTCTCTTGCCTCTCCCTTCAGAAGGTGTGATTTCTCTGCAGTCACTCTTGCACCCAGTTCTTGGGTTTCACTAGGGTAGTTTTCTGTTTATAGTTCCAGACCACAAATAGAATTCTCCTAGGGTGTTTTCTATTCAGGAGACCCTAACTGACCCCTGTGTCGCACAGCCCCAGATAGGTGGCTCACATGCGGGCTCTGGTCTTCGTTTTCCTCGGGAACATTTTCTTATCTCTTCTGTTTCTCAGTCTGTCCTTTTCCTCCTGTGGGAACTTTCATGACTGCCCCTGGGAGAAGGCCTCCAACAGCCCCGGTCAGGAGTCAGACTCATGGCTCTGACCGTACCTTGGGGTACGGCCTCCTCGTGTCTTCCTGGGTAGCTGGGGACATATGCATTTGTGCGGGGAACTTAGGGTGTGCCTCTTTCCAGAAAGTTAGCATTGGCAACAAGGGGAAGACAAGAAAGGGGACCAGACTGGGCTGCAGACTCCTCGTCCCCAGGGTTTCAGAATTTCCAAATTGTACAACAGTCCCAGATCTCTGTCTCTTTCATCTTTTAGTAATAAAAAAAAGATTTTTGCTATAGGGCGTGTGTGCTCACCAGAGAGACAGAGAGGAAAAATTTCTCCCCCTCCCCAGAGATGGTCACACCGCAGTCCCCCTCCCCTCTATTCTCCTCTCGGGACTCTGGGCACACACACGCACCTGGCATGCGTCTAAGTCCCCTGGTCCAGGACTCAAACCTCAGTCGACCATGTGGGAGTCCAGCAATGCAGCCATCACGCCATCCTCTCTGAAGCTGTGATCTTACTGAACAAAGTCCCTGGGGCCTTCAGTTCTCTTTTCATCCTGAAACCAGTGCTTCTTGACAAAATGTAGTTCTCCAGTAGCTCTGAGCCTCTCCGGTAGACAGCACACATGTAGGTGACAGTGTGGTGGCACCCCACTACCAGGAATTCCAGGAGAGAAGGGCAGTCTTGAACTCCAGAGGTCGGGAACTCGGCTTCCTCCCCTAATGTGCTGTCGACACTGGGGAACGCGTGGGCACTGTCGAGAATGTGCAGCGTGTACGTGCGTGCGTCGGTGTGCAACTGCTCCCATCCGCCTGCACGTCAAGATTTGTCCACTTGTGTCATGAGATATGATTGTCATGTCATTTCTGGGGACATGTTTGAGGTTGTTGAGATGCCAAGTGAAACTGAAGCCACTGATGCCTCGTGGGAGTCTTTTCACAGGTCCATGCCACGGAGTGTAGGGCACATCCTCGTGTAAACACGCTTTGTTTTTTATTTTAACAGGCGGACCTTCAAGCAAGATGTCTAAGGTAAGGTCACGCTCTGCTCTGCACCGCGGTGTACGGCTCTGCTCTGAGACTGTCCACAGGGAGATCTATGTGATGCCCTTTGAATGTCTCCACCTCCTTTGAGTCACTTTTTTTTTTAAAGAGAGATGGTTGCTATGGAGCATGTATGCTTGCCAGAGAGACAGAGACAGAGAAAGTGAGCAGTCACCTCCAAAAGAGAATGGCCACACCAGTCCCTTCTCTTCCATGCTCCTCTTGGGATTTGGGGCACGCATGCACATGTGCCTGGTGTGAGTTTTGAACTGTGGTCGACCATGTGGAAGGGAGTCCAGCACCTTCAACACAATGCCACCTTCTGACCCTCTTTTTATTTTATTACTTTATTTTAATTATTTTATTCAACTTTACGTATTCATTTCAGTTTGACTAGAAAGGGACAGAGAGAGAATGAGAAACCAAGCCACCAGCTCTGGGACTCGAACCACAGTTGGCCACATGGGAGTTTAGTGCCCTTAACTACCACGCCACCGGCCAGCCCTATGTCCCTCTTTTAATTCATGAAGACAAAGCATTTTAATTTTGTCATGCTACAAGCATTCCACTCTCCCTCTGTTTGACTTCCCTTCTTTTTTCCGAATACTACCTCAGGTCATCCCCAGAAGATCATTTAGAAATGGCTCGAAAGTCTAATGATGCATCATGAGGAAATCAATGGGCCGCTCAGAGCTGATAAGTTGGTTTCGATCAATCCTTGCGATTTAGCCTGGAGTTCTAAGAGAAAAGAAGTCTAAAGCAGCACATAGCTGAGAAAAGTTAAAATTGCAGGGTTATTTGTCCTCTTTGCCTTTTACTTTGAGTCTGTGGGTACTCATCAGTGTCCAGTGCAGTCATTGGTCCAGCTTTTGCGCTTTATACAGGGTTCGTGTGGAACACCGACAGGCAGATAAAGGAACCATTAGCCAGTATTCCACCACCCGGAAGTAACCAGTGTTAATATTTTCTGTATGTTAGCTCATGTGTATATCCTTTTTATACCAGTGTGTGAATACATATTTACCAGTTGTAATCCTAAAGGAAGTACTGTTTTAGATTCTTGGCTTTTTGAATTAATAAGTCAGCTAATTTTAAATTATCTTAATTTTTTCTTCTTTTTCATTTTTGGCGTGCTAGTACACGGACTCTGCTTTTGCTTTGACCGCCCTTACGTTAGCCCTTCATCTGTCCTCTCTCCTACCAAGTGCTCTCTCAGGGATACGGGTGTTTCAGCACCGTCTGCTGGGCTTTCCTTCTTGTCCTGCGTCTTCACTTCCGTGTCTCCGAGGCGGGATCCCCAGCATGACGCCCTTCACGTGCCTGCCGACCCTGTCCAGGCTGTCCCATTGCAAGTGTAGCAAGGGCGGCCCCTTCTCCTGGGGGCTTTGGACAATCGCATCGTCCCCGTGTCTGCTTGGAAGCTCTTGAGCTGAATTTGCTGAATTTGCGACGTCTGTGTGCCGAGCCTTCAGCCTGTGGAAAGATGGAATTAAAAGAGAAATGTTAAGATACCAACTATTTTTCAACAAAAGTTCCGTCATGTTCAAGACATGCTCCCAAGGAGAGATCCCACTTCTCTCGTCCGAGAACGGAGGGTCCTGGGACTTCGCTGGGCCAGCGCGGTCTTTTCTGTCCCTGTTCTGAAGGGCACGCATGCACACAGGGAGGGGAGCTTAAGCCCAAGTCTGGCCGAGTCGCAACCCCTCGTCCTGCCCGTCGGAGGGGGACTCGCTGGAGTGCCGGGTGTGTCGGCCTGCGGGCTGAGATTCGGACTCGTGTTCCTCTCCTGAGTGGCAGGTCACCCCGTGTGGCCTTTCCTATGTTAACTGAGGACACGTGCCCTTCAAAGATGGTTTTAGGGTTAAGAAGCAGAACGGCAGAAGGAGCCAAGTCAGGAATGTGAGGCGGGCACCCACCGACTCCCCCGAGCCTCCCTGGCTGCGCTCGCTGGGTTAGAGGAATACGGGGAAAGACACTGGTAAAGCCTTCCCTGCCTTTTTTTTTTTTTTTTTGGCTAAAGCTTCAGCCAGCTTTTCTCATAGGTCATGTGGGGTCCGCTGGTGGTGTGGTAGTGAAGGCATTGGATCCCACACGGCCAACCGCATGGTTTTGAGTCCCCTGGTGGGCAGCGTGAGAAACACATCAGGCGTGTGTGCCTAAGATCACAGAGGAGAGTGGAAGAGAAGGGGCTGTGGCATGGCCATCCCCATGGGAGTGATCGCTCGCTCCCGCTCTGATTGCCCGGTGAGCACACGTGCCCTATTGCAAAAAAGAAACTGCACTCTCATAAGCAGATGTCATTGTCTGGGTCCCCACGAAGTCAGCAGGCAGAATGCCTTGAGCATCCCAGAAGCCTGTGGGCATGACCTTGGCTCTGCCTGGGCACTTCCACCCCTGTGGAGCCATCGCTCTGATTGTGCTGTGTCATCTCCTGTTGTAATTCTTAGAAAAATGCTCTAGGTTCTTGATCCCACTAGTTGACTATTTCCCTTGATGGCTGGACTTACAGCCTAGTGATTAAGACAACCAGATCCTACATGGCTGACCATGGTCCGAATCCCAGCCCTGGTGATTTGAAAAATATGCCAGGCCTGTGTGTGTATGCGAGCCCTGAATCCTGATAAGGTGAAGAACTGGGAAGGATTCTGGCATGATCACACCCCACAGGGGCTGTGACAGTATTCTAAAGATTTCTGTGGGGGCCAGCAGGTAGCTTGGTGGTGAAGGTGTCGCACTCGTGGCCGACCGCAGTGTGAGCCCTGGACTTGGAGGCTTGCTTTGTCACTTTTTTCTCTCTCCTTTTTCTCTTGCCCTGTCTCTGGTGAGTGCATGTCTCCCATAGCAAATTAAAATATGGGGGTCCAGCAGATGGTGTAATAGTTATGTTGCTGGACTCCCCTGTAGTTGACCGCGGTTGAAATCCTGGCCCCAGTGGCATAAGCTCATGCTGGGCGCATGTGCGTGAGTGCCTAAAATCCCAAGAGGAGAATGGAAGAGTAGGGATTTCAGCATGATCGTCCCCCTTGGGTATGATTTCTTTCTGTCTCTCTTTGACTCTTGGTGAATGCATGTGCCCTATGCTAATAATAGATAAAGTTAAATACTTCCAAAAAGCATTTCTGTCAAAAGCTCTCCTGCCTCTGATCTGGGCACAGCTGCAGTCTGGCTCCCTTCATGGAGCGTGCTCAGCCCTAGTCAGAATGGTGTGAGCTGAGCCGTACTGGCCGCTATCCCTGCCGTTCACCTTCGCTCCTGTCCGCAGAGCACAGGCGAGGCTGGCGTCCCGCAAGCTGGTGTGCACAGTCTGTGCTGCAGGCACCATCTGCAGCCTCACCTCGTCCCGTCTTAGCCCGAGTTCCCCACTCGTAACTGAATTCTTTGGGGCGTTGTCGTCACAACGTTTTCATAAGGCATCAGGGATCTCGCCCTTCTTCCCCCCGGTGTCACCTTGGTTTGGATTTGGATCCGTCAGTTGTGGCAGAGTCCATGTTCTCTGACGAAGGGTCAGAGATGTCCTCCCCTTAGCACCTGACTAGACCCTGTCCAGACAGAACGAGCCGTGTGTGTCCATTTTAGTGCAGAGATAATGTTGAAATCCATGTGTGGTTTTCATGATACACATGTCGCTGCTGTCCATGAGGTTTTCAGACCCCTGTAAGCCTGACAGGTTTTCCTGTAACTCCATGCAGTTCCTCAAGTCAGAATTTGACCTTGCACTAAGATGAATTACACGCGTATTTTTTATGTATTGCTAAACAGAATACATATTACCAAAACACTAATTTTCGGTCCACATGTGGCTAAGAGATTGTACTAGATTGTTTTTTTCTTGTTGATGCTTTAAGTGAATACTGTCAGTTTTGTGGTAGAAGTATAACTTCTTGTAAGTGTTGATTTATGAGTTCTTGTTGGTTCTTTGTTTGATACCTGTGTCACAATCCTCACTGACCATATCTTCAAGGTAACTAGTAAGGTATTTATTAGCTCTTTTTTTCTGTTTTAAATTTTAGCAACAGCCAACTCAGTTTATAAATCCAGAAACTCCTGGCTATGTTGGATTTGCAAATCTTCCCAATCAAGTTCACCGAAAATCTGTGAAAAAAGGTTTCGAGTTCACACTGATGGTTGTCGGTAAGAAATTGATTTATAACTTCAAGCTTATTAGATAATATCTCCCCTTCCTACTTGTGGACTGTAACAGTGTGACCTGTAAGGTAGGAAGGAAAATCCTTCTGTTGGCCAAATTGAATAACTCAGAAATTTGGGGGAGAGGGGAGTATATTCTTTAGAAAGTTTTGCTCAAGGGTAACATTGTCATTTTCCCATCATTTTCTTATTTGTAGTGAAGGGCTTTATCCCCTGTGACCGCTCGGTTCCCGATGGCTTCCCCTGAAGCTGGCCTTCTGGTGTTTACCTCCCTTCCAAACCCCCCATTCCAAATAGGGCTCACCGGCATGGCCAGTAGAGCACTGCTGATGCGAAGACCTCCGAGATGAGGCCTTAAAACACGGGGCTCCCCCTTGGCTTCTCTCTCCCGCTGTGGGAGAGCCCAGCCGCCGTAGCAGGAGGCCACCAGGCAGCTGTAAGAGGTGGCCAAGAGGCCAGGAGCCGGGGCCCGCCAGGGCCACGTGAGTGACACAGCTCAGACACGGCGCAGCCCACCAGAGCCCGATGCGTCGCTGCATTCCTTGATGGCTGTCGGCCAGCCTACCCCGGAAGGTGTGGGCCCAGACCCTGTGCTTTGGCTAGTGTCCGTGCTCCTCGCTCAGAGTGTGGGCACGCTGTTGTATTTACGTTTGGTGCAGACCTCTGATTTTACAGTCATTGTCTCGTATTCCTGTTAGAATTATATTTACTGAATTCTCATTTCCTCTAGCATTTGCATGGTGACGAGGTAATGGTGCTGGCTTGCCTGCAGGGGACCTGTCCCCGTTACCCCAGGGACACCAGAAACTTTGGGTGGTACCAGGTCCTTTGTTTCCTGTATTTTCCCATGTATTCATACCTGTAATAAAGTGATTCATAAATGAGACACAGTAAGAAATTGACAGGGGCAGGCAGGTGGTGTGGAGGTTAAGGCACTGGATTCCTACATGGCTGACCTTGGTACAGGTACTTTGGTGCCAGACTGGGTACCTTGAAACTTACGCCAGACACATGTTCATACCTGCCCAAAGTTCCGAGAGGAGAAAGGATGTGGTGTGACCCCCCACCCCAGGGAATAATTTCTCTCTCTCTTTATCTTTGGCAAGTGCACATTCTCTATGGTGAAAATCTTTCAAAAAAGAAAAGAAAGAAGTTGACGGTAACTGACAAAATAGGACAGTTACCGCGGTGTGCGGTCATGAAAGTTTGGAGGACGGTCTCTCAGAAAGACCTTCCCCTACAGTACCTGCCTATTTTTGGACCATGGCTGACCTTTGGTGGCTGAAACTGCAGGAAGTGACACCGCTGATAAAGGAGATGGTGCACTTTAGACACGTTACAGCCCCTTCTATACAATTTTCAAGGTGATTTCTTGGCCTGCCTGCAGGAGTACCCAGTGGGCACTGCTGTTTGCTAAGCTGGGACCACTGAAGTCCTCAGTTCAGTTCTAGGGCCAGCCTCAAGGCCAGGCCTGGTGGTGTGGACCTGTGGCTCCAACAACTCAGAAAGGTTTAGAGCCAGGTGTGCCAGGTACATGTCCAGAGTCCCCAGTGGGAGCTGAGGTAGGAGATCTTGACAACAAAATCCTGTTTGTTTATTAACATAAAACAAAAGGAAAACATAAACAATGTGCTAAATGGAAGATTTATATTCTGCAACACTCGTGGACATTAACTGCAACAGCTGAAGTGAAAGGTTTTCTTCAGAATTGGCCTAATGGCAAATAACAGGCTGCAGAAGGAAACGGTAGTAGAAGGCGTCTGTGCAGAAACACAGAAGCGGAAAAGCTGAGCCAGATGTTGGCCACGGCCTCAGTGGGTGAAGATGCCCTGTCTGACCTAGTGTACAGACGTGGAGGCCGGAGCAGAGAGCACATGCCTGGAAATCGTCCACACATGGTGAAAGGAAAGCACAGTCGCGAGGCTCAGAAAGTACCAGGAATATAGATATGAAGAAAGCCATACCGGGGCTGGTAGGTGGCATAGTGGCTATGTCACTGGGCTCCCACGTGGCTGACTGCAGTACAAGTCCTGGACCCAGTGGCTTGAAACTCACCAGGTGCAAGGCCGTGCAGGCCCAAGATCCCAGGATGAGAATGGAGAAGGGACTGTGGCGGGGCCATTTCCCCAGTGGGTGATTTCTCCCCTCCCTCTTGTAGTGTCTCTCCAGTGAGCACATGACACCCTACGGCAAAAACCTCTTTAAAAAAAAAAGAAAAACCACGGGGGCGCGGGGAGTAGCCGATGCTTACAGGCTAGGGCTCTGGATCCCACACAGCCGACTCCTTAGAGTCTAAGACACGATGGCCTGAAAACCGTCCCAGCAGGACAGTGGAGAAGGGATTGCGACATGGCTATCCCCCCGGAAGGTGATTTCTCACTTTGTCTCTTTGGGGAGTGCACAAACACTATTGGAGAGCAAAAAGTCTTCAAAATAAAAAAAGTAAAAAGTGGAAACACGTACTGGGCCAGCTGGTGGCATGGTGAAGCGACTGGATTCCCTATGGCCAGCTGTGGTGTTGGAGTCCCAGATCAGGTGGCTCGGGGAGCACACAAGCGTCAGAAGCTTCCCATGCAGGCCTGACCAAAGTCCCAAGAGAAGAATGGAGGAAGGGGACTGTGACATGCTCGTCCCTCCTGGGAATGAGGTCCTGCTTTCTTTCTCTGTCTCTTTCTAGCTAACGCATGTGCCCTATAGCAGTAACTTAAAAAAAAAAAAAAAAAGCCATACCAAGTTGCAAAAAATCACTAGTAAAACACTAGGCAGAAAAGAAAGGCCCACCCAGGCAGGTAATGAACACATAGGTGAGACCACAGGTAAAGAGAAAAGTCTCAAAAGTAGCCAGAGGGACCCACAGATAGCATACTCCCACATAGTCGACCACCGTTCGAGTCTCAGATCTCGTGTCTTAGAACTCAGGCTGGGCATGTGTGTGTGCATGACCAAGATCCTAAGAGAAGAATGGAGGAGAAGGGATTGTAGTGTGGCCATCCCCCTCCGGGGGGTGGGGGGTGATTTCTCGCTTGCTGTCTCTCTGGTGAGTGCACGCACCCTATAGCAAAAATCTATTGTTAAATTTAAAAAAGTAGCCAGAAACTACAGAGATGGACCAGTGATTGTCATGGAGGTTCAGGCAGCTGGATCCTACATGGCTGGCCTTCCTGGTGGGGTCCTGGACCCAGTGGCTTGAAAATCATGGTGGAGGATGTGTGTGTGAGCCCGAAGTCCCAAGAGGAGAATGGAGGAGAAGGGATTGAAGTGTGGCCATTCCCTTATCGGGTGATTTATCACTTTCACTGTGTGTGTGTCTGTGTCTGTCTGTCTCTTGCTCCCAATCTCCCCCTCCCCTGCCCCCGCTCCCTGTCTTCCTCTCTCTTCAGATTAAAATAAAGTCATGACCAGTCATTAGCATAATGGCTATGTCTCTGAACTCCCATGTAGTCTACTGCGGTTCAAGTCCCGGACCCGGTGACTTAAACTCACGTGTGCGAGCGTGCCCAAGATGCCCAAGAATGGAGGGAAAGGGATTGCGGTGTGGCTATTCCCCTGGGGTGATTTCTCACTTTATGTCTCTGTCTTTCTGGCGAGCACATGCGCCCTACAGCAAAAACCTCTCAAATAAATAGATCAGTAGATAAATGTATGTATGTATGTGTGTTAAGTTAAATAGTACTCTAAAAAAAGGAAACGAGCCCCCGGGACCCGCGCCAGGGCAGCGGCGGGACCTGCGCGAGCCCTCCCGGGCTCAGCGCGAA